TTTGAAGAGCTGTCCAGGACAACGGGAAGAAAGCTCTCTGTGGGGTTCCATGGGGTGGAGCCAGACCGATGTGAGTTACAGGAACAATCCCAAAGAAGACAGCTGGACACTTTGGAGAGAGCGTGTACGCCCTGCCCCAAGGATATACCAACAGGGTCCAGAGTGCTATTTGGTTTATGTCTTAGGAGAATTCAGGTGCTGGAAAGAGCTAAAGTAGACATGGACCCACAGTCCTGACAGATGGGGTTTAAATGGCAGGGGCCACAAGCATGACTCCTCATTCAGACCCCAAGCCCGAGAGCATGAGGTATCTGGAGCCAGCAGAGCCTCAGAGCCCCCGTTGGTCCCATTAGAGGGGAGACTTTGCTACCATAATAGTAGCAAAAGCAACAATCAAATGCTCTGTGGTTGAACAAATACAGGTTTCTTTCTCTGGGGCAGGATGGAAGGTCCAGATCTGTCCTCCCTGGACGTGGCCCTCTCCCCCACTGCTCTGTGGCAAGAAGCTCCGCGTCTGGTGCCTCCCACTCTCAGGGACACTTATGAAGGACACCCAACGTGAAAACAAATAAAAGGAAATCACCCCATCAGAGCTATAAGTAATAATCAATAATTCAAAGCCTTGATAAAGTCTTGCTGGAGAGCGCTTCAGAGAGAAGGCACGGGCTGAGTTTCATGGTTAATTCAATGTCAATTAGCTGATTGCTAACTTCCCTCCAGCGAAATCGCATGCGGTGCCGGGGAGAGAATCAAACGTGCTCTCGCTTTAACAAGCCTGGTGTTTCAATCATTCATCTCTGGCCGCAGGCTCCGAATCAATGTCAACAGACGTTCCCTCACAATTTCATCAACCATTTCTGCATGCCACCGTGTTCTCAACTGCCCTGAATTGTCCCAGGACCATCTCTGGGAACCAGGGCTCCTGTGAACCCCAAAGTCAGAAGAGCAGCCTTCTGCTTCCTAGAAGGTGTAGGACCCACGGCCGTGAACCTGTTTCCCTGCCCTGTGATCATGTCTTCCTTCAAGAGATGCCGGGGTCGGTCAATGTGGCAATGCATGTAAAGTGAACAGCAAAGGAACATAGTCAGTGCTCAATCAGGTGAGTTCTCCTCTGTACTCACAAATCCCCAGGTGGGGACGTGGCTCACCTCCACACCGCCAGCCCCTGCAGACGACGTGGCCACCTTCAGCACCATGGCCAGAGCCTCTGTCCAGAAGCTGGAGATGGGAGGAGCGGAACAAGATAAGGAGATACTATAGGACTCAGAGCTGAGGAGTCAGTGGGGAAAAACCAGAGTAACAGGATCCCAGGGAACACTGGGGCCACCACCACCCTTTGCAAAGGAGGGAACAGGCCCAGAGACGGTCAGAGATTTGTCATGTCAAATGAGAACAACCCTCGTACCACACTTAGACATTGTTAAGGGGATTAAATGAGATAATTGATGCCAAGAACTCAGCCTGGTGCCTAACATAGAAGAAGTATTTCATAAATAGTAGTGAGCCTTCTTGAGTAAGAATATCCTTTGGGGGGGCTGGGGGTGTGGCTCAGTGGTAGAGCCCTTGCCTAGCATGTGTGAGGCCCTGGGTTTGATCCTCAGCACTGCATATAAATAAATGAATAAAATAAAGGTCCATCAACATCTAAAAAAATATTTAAAAAGAAATATATCCTCTGGGGCTGGGGCTATCGCTCAGTGGTAGAATGCTTGCCTAGCACGCGTGAGGCACTGGATCCTCCACACTGCATAAAAATAAATAAAGATATTGTGTCCGTCTACAACTAAAATATATATACATATATTTAAATATATCCTCTGGAAAAATTCAAATCCTCAGGGATATTCCAGGGGCAGCCCCAGTGTGAGGTCAGGATTCAGGCTCCATCTGGACCCAAGTTCAAAGCTCTGTGGCACTCATGACATGGCCTTGGGAAGTCCCTTCTCCATGAGCCTCAGTGTCCTCATCTATAAAATGGGAACACAGGTCCTCCTCCAGCTTGCCTCCAGAGGTGTGGGCAGGTGCGGGCTGTGTGAACCCGGGGATCCGCCCTGCTCTCCGGTGTCATTTATGTTACCTGGACCTCACACCTGCTGGGGGAGCCATTCTTCTCTGTTCCCGTCAGCCCCTGGCAGAGGCCATGGGGGATGAGGGCAGCCAGGAAGGGGACTGGGTGGCAGGGAGGTGCCCCAGGCTCTGCTGCTTCTCCCAGGAGCTGGGAACAGAAGGCCTGAGTTTGTCACTTGCGTATTTGCTGACTTCTCTGCCCTCTGCCAGTGTTGGGCAGTCGCTTCCCAGAAGTTTATCCGAGGAGAGCGGACACCGGGGTCCAACAGACCCGCGAGGCCAGGGAAGGCGCCCCCGCAGCCCGCGCTGCTCTGCCTCCCACCTCTCTGCCGCCGGCCTCTGATGACCGTCCCTCCATCTTTCTCCTTCTCCTTCGGGATCCCTTGGTCCACATCCACCCCTTCCCTTCTGGGTCTGCCCTGGGCTCCTGGAGACTGACCCCCAAGGCCTGCAGGGCCTGGGTGCCCCGGGTCAGGTCCAGCAGGTGGGAGGGGCTGCCAGAGGCCGGAGGGTGGGGGGAGGCGGCCACGGGCTCCCGTCCTCCCCGCTCCAGGGCCACACTTTGGGCGGTGGCTAGGTCTCCATGAAACTCCAACAGGCCTCCCTCCCCCCACAGCACCCCCCCTCCTGGGCTCCCTGACACTGGCTCCTCCCCTCGTCCCATCAGCACTAGAGACGGCGAGGGCTGCTGGCCACAGCTGGTCTCCCAGGACTCCCCACTCTCACTTAACCCCGGAGCCACACCCCCAGCCCTTTTTTCTGTTGTATTCAGAGACAGGGCCTCACTGAGTTGCTTAGCGCCTCCCTAAATTGCTGAGACTGACTTTGAGCCCAAGACCCTCCTGCCTCAGCCTCCCAGGCCGCTGGGATTACAGGGAAGGTCAGGGAGCCAGGCCTCGCTGGCTCTTGTCACTGCCTCAGCCCCACCTTGTGACTGTAAGCAGCCAGGCCCTCACAGCAGACCACTGGAGGAGAATCCTGCTTCCGGCCAGACACGGCTGGCCCCGCTCACCTCTCCCACTTGCTCTCTGTCTCCCCCCCTCACCCCACCCCGCCACAAGTCCTACTGAATTCAGGGTGGGAAACGTTGCAAGTGCTTCCGTCCCCATCCCTTAGGGGACCTCCCAGGGCTGCTGCTCACACACACACACCCCCAGCCAAGACCCCTGACACCTTCCTGGCAGGTCAGGGAGAACGAGGGACAGCACCCTGGGCAACAGCACCCCTTTAGCCACAAACCCGCCAGCACATTCCAGAACCCCGCTTCCCCCTGGGCAGCACAAAGAGACCCGTGCCAGAGAGGCCGTGAGCTGACGGACCTGCACGTGGTTTGCACACCGTGACGCGGGTGTGAGGACCCTCCACGCCTGACCTCAGAGTGTAAGGTATGAGCAGAGGAAGGATAGGCCGCGGGAACAGCCAGTACCGGTGCCCGAGGCTGCTCCCTGCCCCATGGGTGAGGAAGGACGGGCAGACTGGAAGCATTGAGGCTGAGGCTGAAGCTAGGGCTGGGCTCAGGCTGAGGATGACGCTGTGGTTTTCATTAGGTCTGGGAGGTGGTTGAGGATGGAGGCTGAGGCTGGGATGGGGACGTGGAAGGGACTGGCACTGACATCAGGGCTGAGGCTGAGGATGAGTCAGGGGCTGAGCATGGAGCTGAGGCTGAGGTCAGTCGGGGACAGGTGTGAGGCTGGGCCGAGGCTGGACTGGGCCTGGGGAGGCGGGTTAGGTGTTGAGGCAGAGGCTGGAAGCTGAGTTGGGCCAGGGGCTAAGGTTGGGTTTGGACTGCAGTGAGGTTTGTGGCTGGACTAGCACTGGATCTGGGGCTGAGGTCAGGGTCAGAGATGGGTTCAGGGTGGAGGCCGAGGTTGGATTCTGAGTTGGGTGAGAGGCTAAAGCTGATGTTGGCGTGGAAGCCAAGACTGGCCCTAAGTTGGGGCCGGGGCCTGAGGCTGCCCACACAGAGCTCCTGTGGGCTTTGGGAACCTAACTCAGCTGCACAGTGTAGCCACTGGCATGGGGACATGTCCTCCTTCCACTCTCTGAGTGACACCTTCCTTCCTTTCTTCATTTCTCTGTTTGTCTGCTCCTTTATCACCTATGATGTGCAGAACACTGTGTTCCACCTTGGAACAGACCGTGAGCCCAGCAGACGTGACCTCGACCCTCCTGGGGAGCTGAGGTTTTAAAAGGGAAGAAAAACAGTAACCCAGAGTCACCGAGCCGGGGCCATAAATAGAAGCAGGGGAGGGTCATGAATGAACGGCCCCGGGAACCATGTCAGACAGCACAGCACGTGCCAGGGCACGGAGGCCACTGGTGGTGACAGAGGCCTCCTAAGTGGTTCAAAGTTAGTACAGGAAGCATATGACAGGGGGTCGTCCCCTGCTAGGAGACAAGGAGCACTTGGTGGGAGGGTGGCATGCGCTGTGCTAGGCATCTCCGGTCTCCTCTAACCCCGACACTAGGACACAGAGGATGTGGTGGGTCTGGGGTCAGGTAAACCTGAGCTCAAAGCCAGACTGTGCTAGATACAAACCATCGGAGCTGTGTGACCCTGGGCAAGTGACTTCCCCTCTCTGAGCCTCCGTCACATTCTTTAAGGGGGTGACAGTCATTCCTACCTCCCAGGGCTTGAGGGAAGATGGAGGTGATGTGCTCCCAGGTGTGTGAAATGTGAGTTAATGAGAGTTCTCTCCCCTTTCCAGGGCGAGCAGGAAGCCGCAGCCTGCACCTCACCAGTGGCCGCGTGGGCCCCCCTGGCTGTCCAGGCCTCAGTTGTCACCTCCCCCAGGTGCAGGCCTGACTTCTCCCTGGAGTGCGCGCTCCTCGGGGCGCAGGCGTGATTTACACAGCCATCGGGACAACTCCAAATTGGACTAAAACCTAATGACTGGAAACGAGACGAGTAATGAAATTCTACGCAGAAAATATACAGGGGAGATTTATTAGGTGAGTTTTATTTATGATATTGAGTACTTAGGGCTCGGGGTGGGGTGTGGCATTGCACAAATAAATCCAGTCCACGCGCTCCCGGCCCACACATCACCTGCCCCGGCACCACCTCCCCCAGCAGCCCCGGCGCCTGCTCCGGAGGAGACCCCACACGGTCCCTGCCTTCTCAACTCACAGCCTCCCCACCTTGGCTTGTCCCTCCTCTACCACTTTGTCCCTGTGCTGCCAGCTTCTCCAGACCCTGACCTCTCCTCGGTTCCTGTGGCCGGGTTATGCCCAGAGGCAGAACCTTGGGGACAAGAAGGGGAATGTGGAGGGCAGGAACATCAGGAGCAGCCCATTCACAGCATCCTTCCCTTCAGCCCCTTCTCTCCTCACTGCTTTGCTTGACTCCCACTTTTTGACCTATTTTTCCCTCCGTTCACTCCATTCCATGGCACAGTAGCTCCCTAGTTGTTGCTCAAACATACCTAGTAAGGTCATGCCCCAGGACCTTTGCACTGCCTGTGTTTCTTCCCCAGCAAACAACGCAGCTTGCTCCCTTGCTTGCTTCACTGTCACCTTTCCAGTCTGATGGGCTCCTGACCAACCCAAGCTTGCTTATCCCTCCTCCTGCCGCTTTCCTTTCCTCCTGAGCACATGTCCCTAAAATCTTTACATCTTCCTTCTTGACCCTGTTTGTTGGGTGCCTCCCCGACTAGAACCCAAGCTTCATCCAAGGGAACAAAGATGTCTGTTGGCCGGGTTGCCGCTACCACTCCAGGCTCCTGGAACCAGGCCTGGCAGGTGGAGGGCCATCAGCACAAAGAGACGCAGCCAGGTCCCTAACAAGCCCAGCAGCCCTGGCTGAGCGTGGGACATGCAAGGACCTGCAAGGTGCCGGGGACTCTGCCAAAGGTCCCCCAGCTGACTCTGTGCTTGCTCCTGGGCCAGGTAGAGTGACATAAAATAAATCAGACCCGGAACCGGGCTCTTGTAGCTCTCAGCCGGCGGCAGGACAGGCAGGGCAGGTCCGTGGGCTCAAGGCACAGCCCTGGGAGATGATGGAGAATCCCTGCCAGGGAGCCCGGGGACAGTCAGAAGGAATCCAGGAGGCACTTCCCAAGAGACCCTGCCCAGAACCAGGGGTGACTTAGATCTAGGGTGGGTCCTGGCTGTGCCATCAATCCGCTGTGTGGCCTCAGATGTCCCTTACCCTCTCTGTGCCTCTCGGCTCATCAGTAAAGCTTTCTGGGATACAGCGCCCGCTCTCCGGATGGCCATGGAGATGGAACGAATCCTGTAAACCTCTTCCAATGGACCCAGCGCATAACCGATAAGAGTACGATAAATGGGAGCCGTAGTGACCACCGCTTGTATCATCGTGGTTGAAAGCTGGGCAAAGGGAAGAGGGGGGAACCTGAGGCAGCGGGGCGGGCGGCTGGAAGAGCCCAGGCCTGGGGTCCCCAGGGCTGTGCTAGTGAAGGCAACAACCGGCTCTGGGGGCGGGGCTCCCTGAAGGGCGGCACCTGCGGATTCTGGGCCAACTGCAGACCACCATTGCGACATCACGGAGCAGGAGGCTGGGAAGGGAGGCTCGCTTGGCGCTTCCTGGACACACACACCCAACACAGGACACCAGCCCTGAGTCCCACCGCCCCCCCCCATGTGGCCCCATCGGCCTCTGGGCAAGAACCACTGGGGTTTGAGCTCTCCGTGGAGGATGGGGCCCCTCGGGACCCCGTGGTCCAGCCTCCCGCAGGGACTCCCTCTGCAGGGCTGGTCCCACCAGAGGACGAGGGAGGACGGGCTGGAGAAGCTCTAGAAGCCAACTTCAGAGGCTTGGGCCTGCGCCAGCCCCCGCAGCGCAGCGCCTCCACGGAGGAGGGGCCCTGGAAGCTGGGGGTTCGCACCTTGCTCCCTCCGCCTCCGCCGCCCTCCCCAGCAGGTTATCAGCGTGAAAACAGGAAGGCTGGCAGCGCCATCAATAATACATGAAGGCCGGCCCAGATCAGCCGGGGGAGGCGCTCAGCCCCGGGGAGAAGAGCCGGCGCTGGGGGCGCCCCTCCTCCCCTGGCTTTGTGGGGGGCAACACCAGGAGCAGACGCTGGGGCTCTCCCTCCATTTTGCTGCCGCCGCCCACCACCTGCAGAAGCTTCCACCCCTGTAGGAAAATCTTCTGGGTTGGGATGCAGGAGGCCTGGTCCTGGAGTTTGGGAGATCAGAGGGAAAAAACCCAAGCCTGGGCCACAGGCAGGTGTGCATCCCAGCCCAGGTCCACCCACCTACTGTGTGACCTTAGGTAAATCACTTCACCTCTCTCCACCTGGGATTCTTCATGTGCAAAGTCAGAGTCCGGAGGAAATGGTGAGAATCCACAAAAGAATGGATGTGAACCTTCTCGCAGGTAATAGACATTCAATAAATGGTAAGTTCTCTCCTTCCCTGCATCTAAATCTTCCCATCTGTAAAGTGAAGAGGTTGAATAAGTGATCTCTAAGGGCCTGCCCAGGAACCACAGGGAGAGAAACCCCAGGCCACGTATGAAATACAACATGCAAACTCATGCTCTGCCTAAGAGACCAGAGAGGAATGAGGAGGTATCTCTTTCAACCATTGTGGACAGAAAAGACCTCTCTGGGGAGAGAACATGTGAGCAGAAATCGGTAATGTAGTGAACATAAGAAGATACAGGGAATCACTCCTAGCAAAGGAAACTGCAAGTGCAAAGGCCCTGGGGTGGAAATGATTTCTGCAAGTTTAAGTAGCTACAGGTGGCCAGCGTGGTTAAAACAAGTTAGCAGGGAAGATTCGAAAGGAAGCAAAAGGGGGGGATTACCCCCAGAGGGTCCTGAAGGCCATAAGGCTGCAATGTTTACTCCATGTGAAATGGGAACACTTACAGGATTATAAGCAGAGACAGGACTTATTCACCAAGCTCTTAAAGACTCCCTGGTTGCTGTGTGAACAATGGACTCAGCACTGCCCATAGAAATATGATCCAAATCACATGTATGATCTAGAATCTTCTGTGAGCCTTCATGAAAAAAATGTAAAGTAACAGGAGAGGCTGGGGTGGTGGCTCAGTGTCAGAGTGCTTGCTGCCTGGTCTGCAGAGGCCCTGGGTTCCATCCCCGGCACCACAGGAAATAAAAAAAGACCTTCAGCAACAATTAAGAAACAGGTGAGATCAACTTATTTTCAAGCCGTCTTCCACATCCAGGGTATATTTTGTCATCATGGCCCATCTCGGCTTGGCCCGTAGCCCGCCAGCTACACACGGCCACCGTGCTGGACGGCACAGCTCTAGAGAGACAGGGCTGAGAGCAGAGGGCAGCAGATGCCACTGCCAGGGGGGGCCGGGCGGGCTCACAGCACAAGGAACAGGCCGGACACGCGGGAAGGCGGGAGGGGTGGCCGAGGCAGGAAGGCGGGGGTCAGCCACGGCTGCCCCGTGTTGGCACTGAGGACTGAGTGGCCCACGCGGACTCCATGCAGTAGGCACGTGCCAAGGGCTCATCCTCAGAAGCTCAGTGGCCTCTCGTCTGATCCTGTAGAGACCCAACAAGGCCAGCCTCCCGCCTCCAAAAACAGAACTGGGAGGGGGACATGGTGTGGGGCCGTTGTCACCTCTGTCCCTCAGCAAGCACAACCACCCTGCCCACAAACGCCACGAGGACACACCCCGTCCTCTGGTCCTACACCCCAAGAGTCAGGGAGAGGAGAGGCTGGCCCTGGGACACGGAGGACGGAGCCCGGAGGCGCACTCCAGGGCTGGACGCCAGGACCCGGGTCTTCTTCAGCCCCGAAGGGAGGGCGCCCCTCGCTGCCTTGTCTGCAGAGTGAGGGGCTGGCCATGCATGAAGCTAAGGGGACACGGGGACCCTAGATCACTCAAGTGTGTCGTCCCCTGGGCTGGACACGCAGCCGTGCCAACCGGGAAGACCAGGTGCTATTTCATGGCGCCATGATTTGGATCTGGTTTGTCACCTCCATGTGGAAATCTGATTCCCCACGCGGGGGGCGGGGCCTGTAAGAGGTGACAGGCTGACACAGTCCTCAGTTAGCCACCGCGAGAATGGGCCCCGGCGCTGTGTCCTCACGGAGGCTCGCGGCCTCTCGGTTCTGCAAGTTCTGACACGGCACACAGCCCTGGCCAGCGGCAGCCACCTGCGCTTGAATTTCCTGCCTCCAGAATCATGAGCTAAAAATGCTTCTTTCCTTTATAATCTACCTCGTCTCCTATTCTGTTATAGCAACAGAAAACACACTGAGACTCATGAGCCACAAAAACAATAATTATAACCGCTAACACAGGCCACTGTGGGCTTGAAACACATTAGTACAGATGAACGCCCTTCACCTGGTCATCCAAAGCCACACAGCGTCTAACGGGGGGTGGACGAAGGGGGCTGCCATGTGACCCAGGCAGCCTGGCCCCAGAGCTTCACCAACCCCACTTTCCTGCCGCTCTGGCGGGATCACAGAGGTGCCGGGCAGCAGGCTGGAGCCCTGTCCCTCTGAGCTAAATCCACGGGGGACAAGTTCCTGGTCGTTCTTCTGCAAATAGGGAGTAGTTCCACCTGGAGGCGGAACTCTGGGGCTGGGTTGGGTTTCAGGAGTGTCCCCGGTGGAAACAAAGGACATAGCCTTTGTATGTCCTCCAGCAACTGGTCAGCCACTGGACACAGGGAGCCCCCCAGCTGTCACCAAAGGCCCTTCCCTGAGAGGGACCGGGCTGTAAGCCAGGATGGCCACACTCCCAGAACTACCACAGCCTGCACTAGAGTTGGGGACAGGAGAGAGGGGACAGGACATGGGCGTCCTGAGTGGGACGACCTCTTTCTCCCAGAAAGAGCAGCCCTAATGTAGATGGCAAGAAGGGCCACCACAAGGCAGCCGTGTCCATCCCGGGCTCTGGAGCATGCAGGGAGGTCTCAGTCCCCAGAGGGACACAGGGTCATCCAGGGCCTGTCTCCAAACTGCCCTCCCATCCCCGTCAACCCAGCCAGTCCTGGGGTCCAGTCACAGCTGTCCTCCCAGCAGGCACGGCACACTCTGCCACCACCCCGCAGGGCAGAGGGCTCCCACCCGCTCAGTCAGGCTCCTGGGAGGCCCGAATGCGTCTGAGCAAGTAGGAAATGTCACTCACAGTGAGCGGCTGTCCAGGCGGAGGGGCCGGGACTGAGCATCAGCATCGCCCCTCACACTCGGGCCTCTGGAGGAGCTGGACCGGAAGACTCCATTCCTCTTCTGCCCTTGCCCTGGACCCCCGCCCTGACCCTTATCAGGTCTTCGGGCCTTGAAATCCTCCCTCTCCCTGACTCTGGCCTTGGGAGTCTGTCTGTCTGTCCCTCTCTCTCACCAACCACCCCACCCAGTCTTTACCTCCCTCTCTCTCTCTCTCTCTCTCTGTGCATCTCTGTCCTCATTTAGGTCTTTGCCTCTGGTTCCACTGCAGTTCCACCCTCAAGAGGAGCCCAGCCCAGTGTGCTGCCCACATTTACTGACCAGGCTGGGTCTGGCCCGGGCAGGTGGGAGGGTGAGGAAAGTGGCTATTGGAAGCTCATCCAGCCACACCCCTGAGCCCTCTCCTGTTTTGCCAAGATGGTTCCCAGGCCCAGAGCCCAGCCTGCTTGTTTACTACAGGAAGCTCACAGCAGCACTGCGTTAGCACTCTGCCAGCCTGGTGCTGGCAGGGGGCCAGCAGCCCCTGCAGCAGCGTGGGCAAGCTGCCAAGCAGCAAGGCCCCATCCCTGGGGCAGCACAAGGCCTCGCCCTGCCTACCTGGTGACCACCTGGCGTCACCCACAGCTGGAAATGAGTGTGACAGGCCTAGTCCAGCAGGAGTGGAAACAGCACACAAGCTTCCCCACCAGGCCAGGTGCGGGGAGGTGCACGTCTGTGATCCCAGCAGATGGGGAGGCTGAGGCAGGAGGATCCTGAGTTCTGGCTTAGCCTCAGAAACTTAGCAAGGCCCCAAGCATCTTAGTGAGACCCTGTCTCTAAATAAAATATAAAAGAGGGCTGGGGATGTGGCTCAGTGGTTAAGCACCCCTGGGTTCAATCCCAGGTACCAAAAAAAGAGAGAGAGAAAAACAAAGAAATGCAAAGAGGAGTCGACCCACACACACATAACCACTGACCACCTCCCCACACTCTAACGCAAGAAGCACGAATGGCGGCTGCATCAAGCATCAGTCAGCAGATGGGCGGGTGGGTGGATAGGTGGAATAGGAGGATTCATGGATGGATGGATGGACAGACAGATGGACAGATGGGCAGGGAGGTCACTGGAGCATAGCCTGCCATGCAAGGCTTTGATTTTCCCTCATCTCACCCTGGAAACCCCCTTTACCAGGTAAACTTATTCACCAAAGACAGACAGACTGAAGTGTCAGGCACTCGCTTGGCTTCTGATTTTTGAGCGATTTGCTTCTACCTGCCCCATTGCTTCCACAAGGACTGAAGAGCCCAGATCACAGCACAGGCCAGGTGCGCAGGCTGATGGGCAATCGGGACCGGGGCCTGCCCTCTGAGCAAGCCTGGCAGGATGCACACCACCCCTGTGCCTCCGTCAGTCACTGAAGCCACAGCATGTGGAGCACGCTCTTCTTCCTGAGCTGAGACCTGGCTTTCTGAGCAAGGCCAGAGGACAGGCTTGAGCTTTGCAGGAGAGCTGGAGGGGCCAGGAGCTGAGCTGTAGGCTGGCCACAGGAAGGTGGGATTGAGGCAGGCCAGGCTGGACAGCCCCTACCCTCCCTGGCCTTGGTCCACCACAGGCTGCCAACACAGGAAAGATGCTGAAGCAAAAATGTTCTCAGAACCGCTCCAGCTCACCCATGGTGGGCACGCTGGTCTTTCTGTATGCTAAACACCACGTGCCCAAGGTGGCAGGCAGACAGGAAGAGGCTACAAGAGAGAACAACGATCTCCCCAGACTTCCCCAAGCCATTGCAGTGTTGCGAAGATTCAATGAAATAACCTGTGAAGTGCTTAGAAACCGTAAGCACTCAATATGTTCTAGCTATCAACACTGAGGATAATGCCTGGCACAAAGTATGCACTACATATATGTTGAATGAATGAATGAATGAATCCTGGTCCATTCTGCTCTTCCCACATTGGAGGAGAGGAATTGACTGGTCTCTATGGCTACAGGGAAAGATGTATACATCAAGTTTATTCCCACCCCAGGGACTTTGCCCTTGCTGTGTCCTCTGACAGGAGGGATCCCACATGCATCTTTCACAGCATCCACTCCCTCAGTGGATTCAGACCTCTGCAACTGGAATAAGAAAGGGTTCTGGCCATCACCTGCTGGTAGAGCTCCCTCTTCCGAAGTTGTCTCTCCTTCTCAGCCAAGAACCCTCACCAAGTCCAGGTACTTGTTTATGTATTCAGGCAATCCAGTGTCCCCCTCCAAACCAGAGCTAGGACTTGAGCTGACAGGGGCTCCGGCCTG